AGACAGACAGACAGACAGACAGACAGACAGACAGACAGACAGACAGACAGACAGACAGACAGACAGACAGACAGACAGACAGACAGACAGACAGACAGACAGACAGATAAATAGATAGATAGATTTTTTTTCTAAAAAAAAATAGATAGATACTAATAGATATAAATACTTTATTAATCCCAGGGGAAATCTGAGTCATCCAGTAGCATGTTCCAATTATACAGAAAAAAACATGAAATAATAAAAATAGCAAAATACACAAATTTGGAAAAAGGCAATATGCACATGCACGAGGTGGTAGGGAGTAATACAGTCATGATTAACCTATACAGTATGTATACATACATACACATATAAGCATATACATATATACATACACACGTACTGCATATGTACATGTATACATACATACACATACATAAGTTTCCAGGGTACCACAGATTTACAAGGCTTTATTTTTACTGTACGGGGAGGAGTTAAACAGTTAGGGACAAAGGGCTTCCTGAATCTGTCCATGGAGCAGGGCTGGGACAGCAGTCTACCTCTGAAGGAGCTTCTCTGCTTCATGATGGAGCCGTGCAGAGGTTGCTCAGCATTGTCCATGATGGATAGTAGCTTACTGAGGACCCTTTTCTTTACCACTGATGTAAGGGACTCCAGCTCCGTTCCCAACACAGAACCAGTTTTCCTCACCAGCCTGTTAAGTCACCCTGCATGTCCCCTCTTAATGCTGCCTCCCCAACACACAACAGGACAGAAGAGGCACTGGCTACCAACAGACTGGTAGAACATCAGCAGCAGTAGTTTCCTGCAGATACTGAAGGACCCAAGTCTCCTCAGGAAGTAGACTCTGCTCTGACCCTTCCTGCAGAGGGAGTCTGTGTTCACTGACCAGTCCAGCCTGTCATCCAGCTGTATGCCCAGATACTTGTAGGTCCCGACCCCCTCCACATCAACCCCCTCAATTGAGACTGGCTTCAGGGTCAGTGCAGACCTTCTGAAGTCCACTACCATTTTCTTTGTCTTACTGATGTTCAGCTGTAGATGGTTGGATTTGCAGCACACTAGTCCTCAACCAGGGTCCTGTACTCCCTCTCCTGTCCATCCTGCATATATCCAACGATTGCAGTATCATCTGAGTACTTCTGCATTCTAGTTTCTGCACAAATCATTTAGTAAAACCTTCCAAAGTTTGTGCAAACAGAAACAACATGCTGCCTTTATTCTGCCTCCAGTAAAAACGCCTGACTGGTTACATCCGGACAGCCACGAACGTCTTGTTTTCTTCTCAAGCCACGTTTGTTTATAGGAAGGTAAAAGAGGACTGAAAATTTTCTGATTCATCGTTTTATTACATCCACCAAATATTCACGTTTCAAACCTGCAACCTAAACATGAGCAGCTAACAGTAACGAGGAATCTTTCCGTCCTCCCTTACAGAAAACACCGTTCTGTTCACTTGTTGTTTTTTAAGGTACTATAACGTGAAGTGTTGTTGCAGTTTGACTGAACTGTTTTCCTCCACGCGCTCAGGTTTTATAAAGATCTCAATGTTTTCTGATAAAACACTTCATAAACTGACGAGTCCAGATTTACATCATGAGTGAGGAAAGTTTAATCAACAGATGTCCTTTCTGTCACAAGCCTCGCCGCTGATCCGGGCTTTGGACCAGAATAACTCAGTGTTCTTCCACAGGCTGATTTTAATTGACGACGATTGGTTTAATTCTTGTCATTTGACACGTTTTTTTCTTATTTGAATTGAAACTACATAAAGTGTTTAACAAAACTGATTCTGCTTCCTGTTTGGGTAAAATCTGACTAAATAATGTCTAAAATAAGCTTTAGGTATTGTTTCAAGAACAACGTCCATGTTTTGTTGTTCATGCTGAGAACGATCTGCTCGGTTCCCGAAGCGTTCGTGTTATTGATGCACCTGACAAGAATGGCGAGTTTGTTTCTACTCAGTTAAAAAAAAAAAGGATTTAAATATTAAAATCACACATTCCACAGTCGTTGTGAACTTTATATAACCAGGGACAAATACATGGAAACGTCTTGAGGTTTAAAATGTTTTACGAGTGTCCTGACCTCAACACGTGTGCAAACATTGCTGTTTGAGCGACGCTTCAGCTTCTGCTTCAACCTAAAATGAACCTTTTTTGGTTAAAAACACATTGAGGCGTGCAGTTGCAACTGAGCACGGTCATTTTCATCAGTGTAATACATCCATGAGCATTTGAAAGGTGTAAATTTTGATTTTGTCTTCTTTTCACACTGGTTCCCTAAGTTATAAACTGTCCTTTTAGAATAAAACCTTCAGCATCAGTTTTTCTCCAGTTTTAGTTTCTCCCCTGTCAAATTCAGAATAAAATTCAAAATCTTACTTCTAACATTCAAAGCTCTCAACAACCTAGCTCCATCTTATATTACAGATCTTATTGTTCCATATTTTCACAACAGAGCACCTTGCTCTCACACTGCAGGCTTACTCGTGGTTCCTAGAGTTTCCAAAAGCAGAATGGGAGGAAGATCTTTCAGTTATCAGGCTCCTCTCTTGTGGAACCAACTTCCAGTTTCTGTCTGTGAGGCTGGCACATTGTCCAGTTTTAATACTGGGCTTAAGACTTTCCTTTTTGATAAATCCTATAGTTAGTGTTGGCTTGTTATGCTGCTATAGGTTTAGACCACTGGAGGACAAATTGACCTCATTCCTTAAATGAATTACTAAAATTTAATGGTTTTCATTTGATATTATTTCTATCTTAACATGTGATTCTTGACCTGCCATTGTGTACCTGTTCCTACGAAACCCAGCCGGTAGAAGCAGATGGTCGCTTGTCCTGAGCCTGGTTCTGCTGAAGGTTTCTTCCTCATGAGGGAGTTTTTCCTTTCCACTGTCGCCTTCATACTTGCTCAAGATGAGAGTTCTGTGATGAAGTTAAACCCAAAGCAGTCTGCTCCTCAGATAAATAATGTTAAATTATTATTTTTATATATGGATGTTTCTGTTCAGTGCCCTGAGAAGTCTTCTATTGTGAATTGGCGCTATATAAATAAAATAAAATGAATTTAATTAAATTTATAGGGCCAGACCTCAGGTAAACTGCAACATGTTAGAAAAACAGAAGGTTTGGATTTATGACTGGATTGATTCAAACATGATGAATGAGTTGTTTCATAATCAATATTAGTGTTTGTTAATTAGTTTCCAGCTAGTTAATTACTGCACACTGTCAGTTCTTCATTTTTTTCTAATGTTTTCTGGATCCTGCCGAGCTTTGCTTTACATCAGATTTTGGTGTTGGACTTCTTGTTTTGTTTATTTTTCATGTAAAAATTAATTTATTTCCTTTACTTGTGATGTTTTGTGTTTGACCCGCTGACATCACGTCTTAAGGCACGTCATCTACGGTGCACGGATCAGCAGCCTGTGAACGTGACTTTAGAGACGTTCTTACCTCCAGCTTCACAAACATGATGCTGCGTTCAAGGCTGGTGAAAAGCTGGGACATCTGAGCCTCAGCAGGTTTACTGAGGTACTGGGAAAAGCTTGACCCAATAATATTAAAACGCAAACACTTACGTTACTGGATTCTACAAATACTGACCTCATCCTGAAAGTGCAACAACTTTCCATAAAGAGGACAGACTTGTCTTCAATGGACCCAAACTGTCTCTGAGATCCTTCATGCAGCGAGGACGTCTTTTGAAATGTAATGCCCCTAAAAGGCTTTAAACAAATTGAGGATGACAGCCGAGTAAGAACCACTCGTGATAAACGTCTTTACTCCATGTGAACCCGGTTTGTTTTTAAAACTTTTTTTTTTTTTTTTGGTCAAATCTACTTTAACGTCTCTGCCAGTTCTGACGTCGAGGTCTCTGCTTGAGTTACTGTCCCTTAAAAGACTGCTTGTTGGAGAAAATTAATGACGCTCTTCAAAGATAAAAGTTTATTTCTCAAGCTTTTCAACTTCTTCATTCTTTATGTTTGATCAGACAGGACCTGAACTCAACTGAAGCTGTTTAACTCCAATAACAGAGACAAAGTAAAGCTTGTCCTTTTCATCTTATCAGTGTGCATGAAGGCCTTATTGATTTTATTTTTTAGTTCTTTATTTTACCAGGAGAAAGATTAAATTTTCATTTAGAACAGTGACCTGGCCAAAACGAGCATGTGTGTAAAATGTGTAAGAAAAAATATATACATATTTTTAAAGGACATCTGAAAGCCCAGCTGTGGTAAACGAACCACGCAACGCTAGAAATGTTACCAGTGTTGCTTCTCGGTGCTCAGGTAACCCTAACTTCCTGTTAGGCTCCTCCCACCTGCCCAGGTGATGATGGGAACCAAACCTAACGGAAGATGAAGGGAAGGGGCCATGATGATGATCTACAGTATGTGACAGGAAGATGGAGGGTTTGATGCTGGACTCGTTATTTTACTTCCATATTCTGTTTCATATTCATGACACCTTCATGACATCATCTCTAAACTTTGGAAGATTTAAATCTCTAAAAGATGATAGAGATTATAAAATTCATATTTGATGCTGAAAACACCAAATATGGTGTTCAAACTGGACTGGTTCAAATTAAAGTGCTTCATACGAAGCTGGTTCAGACTAAAATGGTTCAAAATAAAATGGTTCAAGGTAAACAGGTTCAAACTAAACTAGTTCAAATTAAAATGGTTCAAACTAACT